TTGGTTGATATAAAAATTTATTGATTATTAAGTTATCATTTTTTAATTTATATTACTCAAATTTTGATTAAAATAACTTCATCTAATATTATCTAATTTTAAATTTAAAGATTGTAGTAGCTCTAATGATAGATAAGATTAGAGAGTCCGTCTTGGATGATTTGATCACATAAAATGCTGTTCTTCAGATAACCTAGTTACGAGAGTAAATATATTAGATCTGATCTACATTAAGAAAAATAGTGATTAAAATATTATAAATTATCTTTTTATTAGATTTATAAAGAAAATTTGATTCTTAATATGAGAGATTATTTGTGCTGTGTCCGAACACATCCAGAGGCTAATCCGGACCACGCCACGTCATCCAATGCACTGTGCATTATGTGACGTGGAGCGTCCAGTCACCACATGTAATAATTTTTCCTTAATAGAATATAATGGAGAAAAATAATGCATATAGCCGACCTCATGTTAATGAGATAAAGGCTTGAAGTTATTATTGTTGTATAATTTAATTAGAATTAAAAAATGATAATTAGCTACTAATTAATCACTCTTGAACTCTTACATAGCCCGATATAGGCGGCAGATTGGCAAGACCAGCGTAGCTGATTCCCTGTTTTGCATTAAAATCTTCAGCCATCAAACAACAGAATTTTTCTGTGCAGAATCTGAACGTGTCGCGAGGCGAATTAGGGCTGCGTCACGTCACCGGGGCAGTGCATCCGATGAATGCGCGCCCCAATTCAACTTCGAACCACGTTGATTCCGCACAGAAAATATCTCTTTCAAGATAATAGACATTGAACAACATAAAATAAGCTATTACGAACTCTCTCACTTGCCTGTGGAAAGGCTAGACTGGCTATTGTGATGGCCAGAGACAAAATGATCAGCCTTGAGAAGAGAAGCTGTAATGTGGGGCCCATCAAGTATGGGGAAGAGGAAAACTGAGCTCCGAGTAACCATTTGGTGCTGGAGGCTTGCCGTTGAAGCGGCGAAAAGGGTCGTCGGGGAAGAAGGTCTCCTTCATTCTTGTCTTCAACTTTGCGCAAGTGCTTTGAGGTGGAGGGAGAGGTACTCGGCGTGGCGATGAATCTATCGTAACCATTATCAGCTCACGTCGTTGCCGCCCTCCCGCCGCCGCCGCCTTGTGTTGCTGTTGGCTCCTCCATTGGTTCTCGAGGCAGGACGACTGTGTGATGGTAAGAGAGAGTGTTTGGGTTGTCAGCACTTATATTGAGATAAAAAAAAAAAAGAATATTCTATGCATAATTTTATATAAAAATGTGTCTTAAAAATTATTGAATTTATTTTAATTTTTTTAAATAATTAAAATTGATATATTGTATAATTATGGATCAAAACTCTTATTGTATAAATATTAAATTATTTTTTAAAAAAATAAATTAAATAATATATATGTTTATCTTATTTTAGAATATTATGAAATTAGCTCTTATTTTATAAATATTTAAATTATTTATAAATATAAGTTAAGTTATATATAATTCATCTTCATTTTATAAATATTATGGACAATTACACTTACTTTATAAGTATTAATTTTTTTATAAAAATAAATTAAATAATATATAATTTCATCTTATTTATAAATATTATGGACCATTAGCTCTTATTTTATGTTAGAGTTTTTCAGATTTCTTATATTAGTATTATTATTATTTATATGTTTATTATTAATTTCTATCTTCAAATATTGATGATATCATAGAAACATTTAATATATTAACCATAATATATAAATATAAGAGTTCAATAAAATTCTAAATAGTTCTCAATAGTTATAAAATAGATAAATTATTATTATTATTTTCAAAAATACTAAATTATTAAGTAGTTTTAATTATAAAAAATCATTAATCTTCCTTGAATTAGATATTTTGCTTTAAGGAGAGATTCCTATAGTAGGAGGAAGGTTTGTAGACCTGAAAAAGGAAAAGGAGATGATAAAGTCTCTTTAAGGAGATATTCCTTTGCATGGTAGAACTTGGCGATGGTTCCTCCCAATAATGGTTCATGATAATTTTATGTTTTGGGTACGATACCCTCCCTTTTTTTTTCTTTTTTTCTGTGAGCCTTAGAGACCATTAGGGTCATTTAGGCCTGTAGAGTAGGCCACCTATTGTGCCATGGGGATCGTTGTTTTCCCACACGAAGTGGGCACCGCTAAGATGGTTTTCTATTATGATGTGATGCAGATACATTGTCTGGAGGATATCTGGTGTGTTTATTTATTTTTTCTGTACTATGTATGTCATGCACGCATTTTTATAAACTTTATATCATAATATACTTTACTCACATGCATGCATTACATCAGTAGACATAGGGATATTTTGTATCTATTCCATGCATCATACAGTGCTAGGTATATTCTTTTGCATATTATAGAGTCCCTAATTGAAACCCTTTTGAATTATAAATCCTTGATTCCTTAGGATAGAGCCTTTTTATCTTGTATACATATAGAACGATTGATTATATTTAGGATGTTAGCTGGCAGCTCACTCCAGCCAAGCATAAGCCCAGGTTGTACACCCCTCAATGTCTCCATTCAACTATGTGTTGAGTCTGTCTTTTTTATTTTTTTTATTTCCTAGGATAGTGATTCAATCTTTTGATCTTTTAAACTCAAAATCTTAATCACATCTTTATTCATTTAAAAAGTCTAACCACCACTAAGGGTAAAGAGAAAAGATTATCTTCTTCAGAATAGAATCTAGAAACTTTCGCTGAGCACCAAATTAAGAAAAGAATAATAAATCGTCTTTAATCGAGAGTTTTTCTAGGTCAAGGCCTAGAACGTAATTAACTACGGGGGCTTTCTCCCGTAGGAAACTGATCCCCACATCAAATAAACCACATTCGAGCTGATGTATCGAATGGGGGAAATCTCGTGAAAGTTTGGGTTATATATATTATTATTAATCGAGGTTGATAGGAGAAAGCCACTATCATCCATGGCTAATCGCATGTATAACTCCATCTGCTCTTCCATCAGTCTGCTTGTGTCGAGGGTAAAGGCCTACCGACCATTTTGTCCTATGAGATAGTGCGATCGTACTCTTTGCATTCGAATCCCATGAGCAGAATCGCTTCGGAGACCCACAGATTTCTGACAACCACGTTGGGACAGGTTTCTCTCTCCATCTTTGGATGTTGTATTATTCACTTCTGTAGGTATTCCTAGTTTGAATTCTCATTTTCTACTCCTCTCTTCTCTTAATCCTTAATGAGAGTTAGGTCTTTTTAATGTATAAAGATTTAATTAATATTTTGAGTTTATTAGATCTTTATCTTTAAGCTTTAAATTCAAATCCAGATCAATCTATTTCAAGTCAATCTTATTCAAATCAAAATTTTCATATTTATCAATTTCTGGTTGAAATTTTTTCAGATTTAATCTTGATTTACATCATTTCAAATGAAAGTCCACATTCTATTTTTGATGGCATGATTCATATACTTGGCATAAATTCTAGTCTCTATTATTCCTCTTATTTGAGATCCTTTAAACTAGATTTTGATTCATATCAGTACAAATAGAAATTCAAATATTATTTTCAATGGAAGAGTCCATAAAATTGACATATATAAACTTTTCAAAAAGAAAAGTTAACTTGAGAAAGGTTTTAGAGTTTAAAATATAAGACACTTTTGAAGGAACTTTTCTTGAAGGGTATGTGACTAATCTATCCTAATGAAAATTTACCTCCATTTTTATTTAAAATATGAAGTAAGCGTTGGTTGACTCATCTAAACACTTAAAGAAGAAAATTCATGATGATCCATAAGAAAAAGGAGTATGTCCTCTCCCTTCCATCCCTTGTGTGGAGTGATTACCTCTTTGAAGTAAAATCTTTGACAAATTGGAATTAGGCTTAGAAATAAAAATTTTCTCCTTTATCTTGCAATTTTCCATCTCATAGGCATCTTTTGCATGCTTACGAATCTATTTCATAAATTTCTTAATCAGGTTATTCATTGTTTTTTTTTTATTTTGGGAAATTTAGGGGCAGAGCCCATATCATTGCATAAAAGAAATTACAAGTAAAAGAGCAGCTAACTATAATCCCTAATCTCATAATAACATAAAGAGATTAAGGATTCTAAAGAAAAGAAAAATACATCATAAAGGAAGAATTATAAAAAACAGTTGGCACACGGGCCTAAAGTACTCAGGTCGCTCTTAAGCTCGAAAAGGGACAAAATATCGTTGGGACAGAAGAGAGTGAGTTTGTTTTGTGAATTATTCTTCCTTACATAAGAGAGTGAGTTTTCTTCTCTTATATTTGAAAGATAATTTCATAACTGAGAAAATATTCTTTTAGAGTTTGAAAATGATGACTTTAGATTCATATTATGCATTGATATTCTATTAGATATAAAAATATTCTTCATGCAAGAAGATAGAGAAGATTCAATTTCTTTATCTAATTTATATCTTTTTGAATTAGATTTTAATTCAAAAAAATACTTATCTAAGGGAGAGAGCTTAATCTAGCTTGTAGGGAGCTTGACAAATCCCTAACCTTTTTGTGTTTAGATGGAGTCAACCCACTCTTTACTAAGTTTTTCAAATTTGGTTCCATTTATTATTTTAATTGGGCCAAAATAATCAAGAGATAGATCTTCATTTCGAGAAATAATACTCTTACTCTTTGATAAAATTTCTACTCTTTGAAAAATTATGTGAATCAAACCTTTCTCAATTAATTGATGTGTGTTTCGCATCTCTTAGTTCCTTCACTATTGAGTATGTTTAAATGTCCATCTTGTTCTTTTGAAAATTTATGCACGAAAATTGTTGGACCCGAACATTTGATTATAAATAATTCTTAAGGACTGATATGATATTCCTTTGATTGCACTCTCATTTTCTCTTGGAATCTTGGTTATTTTGAGCTCTTATTGTTTTGCTTAGAAACAACAATTTGGCGTGTATTATTTCTCTAGATATCTTTATGCCGTCATCTCTTGTTTGGGAGCCACTATCCCATTCAAGTTAATGGTTTTGCTCATTTGTTTGGGAGCCACTATCCCATTCAAGTTGTTGTTTTAATCACTTGTTTGGGAGCCACTCTCCCATTCAAGTTGATGATTATTGTTAACTTGTTTGGGAGCCACTCTCCCATTCAAGTTGATGATTTTGCTTGCTTGTTTGGAAACCACTCTCCCATTCAAGTTGTCGTTTTGCTCATTTGTTAGGGAGCCACTCTCCCATTCAAGTCGTTGATTTTGTTCACTCGTTTGGAAATTACTATCCCATTCAGGTTGTTGTTTTTGCTCACTTGTTTGAGAGCCATTTTCTCATTCAAGTCGTTGATTTTATTCACCTACTTGGAAGTCATTCTCCCATTCAGGTCATTATTTTGTTCACTTCTTTGGGAGTCACTCTCCCATTCAAGTTGTTGGTTTTGTTCACCTGTTTGGGAATCACTACCCCATTCAGGTTGTTGTTTTTGCTCACTTGTTTGGGAGCCATTTTCCCATTCAAGTCGTTGAATTTGTTTACCTGCTTGGGAGTCATTCTCCCATTCAGGTCGTTGTTTTGTTCACTTATGAGCCACTCTCTCATTCAAGTTGTTGGTTTTGTTCACCTGCTTGGGAGCGACTATCCCATTTAGGTTGTTGTGTCTGCTTACTTGTTTGAGAGCCACTCTCCCATTCAAGTTATTTGTTTTGTCCACTTGCTTAAGAGCCACTCTCACATTCAGGTCGTCGTTTTGTTCACTTGTTTGGGAGCCACTCTCCCATTCAAGTTATTAGTTTTGTACACCTGCTTGGGAGTTTTTTTTATCCCATTGAGGTTGTTCTGTTCACTTGTTTGGGAGTCACTATCCCATTCAAGTTGTTGATGTTTCTTTAATTATTTTTGAAGTCACTCTTCCATTTAAGTCCTTATTCCATTTCTTAGTTTGGTTCATCCCCTTGGATCTTTATATGTGTGATTATTCTGTCATGTTCTTCCTCATATTGATATCATGATAGCTTTCTCTTGATTTGCATAAGAGCATTCACCTTCATTCCATGTCGTTGCCTCTCCACGGACAGACCCATGGGAGAGGTTTTCTCTTTGGTGTTACTTATGGACTCCAATGTTCAGGAGGTTCCTTTTGTCACTCCTTTTTCCTCTTCGTACCACCTTTAGACCCACAGTCGGGTGGTCATTGAGTGTCT